CAGCATTATGAGATAATAAATGGCATCTTGTTTCTTGTGCCCTCTCACCCCCTGCACAAGTAATTATCACCAAATTCACACTGTGCCCCAGGCTTTGAGTTCCAGGCTATAATTATAATTGTGAATTAGATTTGACAAAAAGGTCTTGCCACATTGTTGGACACTGTTACCATGAAAAAATAACTCATTATATATGATTGGATATGAACAGCTGTAACTGGTTTTGCATTAGACTTCATGATGCAGACGAGTCAGCCATTCAGTTTGCCTTCATGCCTTCCCCTGAGGCTGGATGAGCTCTTGCTGGAGCAAACAAAACAATAAAAGTGACTTATGGGGTGTTTAAGGGTCTGCCTGTTCTTCTGTATCTCACTGAAAGCTGTTGTTCCCTATGAACACAAGATAATAAAAACAGGGCAGCCTGAGTGTAGACATAAATAACCTTTAGTTAGGTAAGGTAGTTGGAGTGTTTACAGCTATGGACTTTACAGTTCAACAATTAAACCTCAAAATGAAACCATTGTAAACTGATATTAGAGCTTTATATTTATTTAACAGCTACAATAGCTGATTACTTTACAAATTAGGCGTTTACATAGTATAGTTAAAAGTAGTAGTAAATTTTCTTTTTTAAAAAGTATAGTTTTTTCAGGTATCTGTAAATTTTTACCCAAATATCTGTACTTTCAACTCCTTACAGACAAGAGAGGGAGTCTCGACCCCATTCAAAGTTTTCCTCAGAGACAGCCGTTTGAAATTTAGAAATACATGTTTGAGCCTGTACATCTTTACTTTTACTTGAGTAAAGAAATTGAATCAGTATTTCTACTTTTAATTTAATCTTCTTTTACACAAGTACCTGCACTTCTACTTGAGTACATAATGATGTGGCCTGTTTATATCCTGCTTAATAATTAGATTATACATGATGCTCAGACTAGAATCACTGGCACATTTTTTCGTTACTTGTGTCAAGTAAGTGGGTCAAATGTACATTTAACAACGGTCTCTTATTCAATACAAGACCAGTCCAAGGTCTCTGTATTGTTGACAGCACTATGTGATGAACATAATGGTTTCTACAATGCATTTAGTATGTGCTCATCCTCCATTGTAGAAATAGTAGAAAACGTAGTCGAGGTATTACAGGTGTTTATTGAAGAAGGGTGTGGCTCAAAAGCTGTTTTAAAAACTTGAAAGGTTGATTGAAGAGAGAACCTGGGGCAGATATCTGAGCCGTTTGACGGGACGACCGGCCTGCTTTCTGCTCGGGCAGCGAACTGTGAGCTAAGAGTTAGTGAAACAGCGGCTGAGGTGCTCTCCATCATTATATGTGTCAGCTACATGGTGATGTATGATTGGCTGAAGCCAGCAGATGGGGTAATTCATCACACATTGAGATGTAGATTTAGGAGTCATAATGCTTTTGATGCTGGTTCAGCAAACTCCACTGCATTACATCAAATATTCATTAAATGTTGAATAAGTTGAGCATCAGCTAATATTATGATGGTCAAAGACTAACTTAGGGTTCAATCCATTATTTGGACTTTTAAAAGGTAAAGGGACATATTTTTATTATAATTCTATAATTGTTTTATCAGTTTTTAAGAGATAAAAACGGTCTCTCTGTGATGATTTTGAGACTTATAGCGTCTCCTGATCAAGTCTGGCTTTGTCCTCGACTTTCACAGCTGCATATTTAGATTCTTAAATCAAGTGTGCATTTGTGCTTTTATGCATTCACGGTTCAAAGAGTGAAAAATCCTAAGGGAAACTTGCTTTCAAAGGTAAACACATAAATTTGGATTAAACTTTTTTTTTTTTTGAAGGGCTCAGCCACCAAATAGCTCTTTTAGGATTGCTGTTGCAATCTCATGATAGCTGGCCCATATTTCCTCACTGCCATGGTCTGATGTCTGGCAGAAAATTGAAGCCAGTCAGGTGTGGCAGCGTCATAGCCACAAGAATCAGAGGCCTTTCATTTTTCTCAGAAATGGCCAGGTTTAATGATGACATAAGAAGGAGTGCACAAATGCAGTGTTTTCTCTCAAACAAGATATCATTTTCAACAGGTGTAACTGAAAAACACTTAATATGCTAATGACTCAGCCGAGACCTCTTGATTTGTTTAAAAATTTGTATTTTAGGGTGTATTCTCTACACGTTTTACATCTAATGATGCGTGCCATTCAGTGAAGCTCTGCCAAATGCATAGATGCACATTTATTGATTCCCTAGTAGCTATTGAGCATAAACTTTGAACATACTGTGCCTTTTGTTTTTCCTATACTTTCCAGACAAAGGGGGATGGTGACATCTGCCTGTGAAAAGCTGGTTGTAACACTCAAAGCTTTCACTCAGAGGAAATGCCAACACCCCCTTTTTTCTAGTTATCTAGCTGGTTAGAGAAACAGTCTTTATGTTCAAAGTTTTTTTTACCTTTATTGGAGGTAAAAGTTGGGTTTTAATCAGCTTCTCAGTTGTCTGAAGCCATAAAAAAGTAATTTGGCTTTATGATGGAGCTTGTGAGGCGGGACAAATGAGTGGCAACCTGACTGAGAGCTTGAGACAGCACTCACCATGCAAACATACCTCTCTTCAAGCCCCAAAATCCTCGTAATGCAACATTTTTTACATTCTGGAAAGCTTAAATCTCTGCGTGCATCAGTGTTTCAGAACATTTGAGGTTTGACAGCGCATTTATATCCAAGACTTAGTGGAGCTGTAGTAATAAAATACCACCATGGATCTGGTATGAATCCAGCTAAAACAAAACAAAAAAACAAGTCATTCTTTCATTAGCCCAACATTAATTAGAAGTAATATAAATTAAAGCTGCACCCAAACAAGAAAACAACCTTCATATCAACAATGGATCAAATAACTATGTGAATGGTGTTGTTCATAATGACAAACCAACAGTGAATTATCACCTGACTCTTTGAAGCTTTTTAGCATCTTTCAGCTCATTGTTTTGGTTTTACGGTACAACAGATTTACTCCCGTCGTTCTCATCAACCCTTTACAGAAGTAGATGTTTCCAGTGAAAAAACTCTTGATAAACCCACTGTAAGCTACCAAACAAAAAGCAGACAGTTAGTGACTGGCTTGTGTGGAGTAATTAGCAGCTAAAAGATCGGATATTTCCCTCAGGAACGTGAATATTGGACTTATTTAGTAGCTACAACAACTTTATCCGGTGATAATAAGTCAGTGTTATTTACAGCTTATCCTGCTGCCTCCAAGTGGCCAGTTCATTGCTTCTGCAGTGGATGTTGCAAAAAGTTTGTCTTTGCCACTTGCAACTGTCAGCCCTACACCAAAATCATCGTCCAATTGTTCCCAAGGGTTTGCTCTAAACAAGTTTTTTGAGCCTCCATCTCGTGGCCATCAGTGTAACAGATCTTCTGTCAAACGTAGAGACGGACCGGTTCCTTGTAGAATCAGTTGAGTCGCTTTCTGTTCGGTTTGTTATTCTCTATTAATCATGTGAAATATATTTTAAGACATAGTCTGTGAAACTGTACGACCGTTCTTTAATCCAAAAACGGTTTCTCTGGTGAAACCTTCCTTGATTTCAAGCCAGAAAAAGAATTAACCACATTCAATTTTCATGAATTGGTCTCTCAGTGCTGACTTTTCAAAGTGCAGGCTGGAGAGTTTTTTAAAGCCATAAAATCTCAGCATCTGTCGAAGTTATCGGTGAGTCACTGCAATCGCTCACAAACCCGATTAAACCACTTTGTTTTTCTGACTCCTGAGAACGTCAGGGGTTAATGTGCAGCCACATACGTTTTATTTGTCCCAGTGATGAAGGCACTGTCCTTACCAAACCTGTTAAGCTGTGAAAGAACATTAGGAGTTCAGCGCAGTTAATCAGATTCATCATTCTTTGACCTTATGATGAAAACCATTTAGGTTAGTTAAAAACTGTGGAAAGATTTATTACAATGTGAACATTAAGTTCAACTTTTTTTGTTTAGACAGTGAGAAAATAATGTTTTGGCTCGTGAAGCAGGTTGGTTAAATACAATATACACAGACTGGTGACAGAGAGATATTTGCCTGCTGTTTTCCATCAGCCACTTTACAGCTACCTGTTTATTCTCTTTATTCAAACAATTAAACAGACGGGAATACTGTGTTCTTTCTGTTTTTTGGGACGTAAATCTCTGATGGCTGCGATCAGCAGTTGGAACAACAGCAGATGGACTCGTAACACGTTACAAATGGGTTTTGGCTGCACGCTCTCAGCCACAGCAGAAAAGTAGGAGGCAAACAACAAGAGTTTGGTGTGGGGAATTCAGTTTCACCTCAGTCCTGCCCACAGGGGCTCAGGGGAATATTAGATTATGAGGCAGCCAGACCCAACATCAAACCTGTTTTGCTGAAAGGTCACTAACACCCTGAAACAGGCATGGCCACAGTCCATCAGAGAGACTGTACCATTTTTTTTTTACCCCATCATGGCATACTCATGGATTTCCAAAATCTACGCTCACACTGCTGAGAGTGTAATATCATTTAGACTTGAGTAAAAAAATGAGTAAATTAGCAAGTTAGCACTAGACATTGTGTCATCCTAAAGTCCCCTGATAGAGATAACAGGCAGTTTCGTAGTTACCAATCTGCTCGTAATTGTTTAATTTTTCCACCAAATTAAGACAAATAACTGTTTCTACCGAGCCTGCATAAATAGGGATTTTCTCTTTCAGCTGAAAAGTAAACTGCTGATTTGGGTTTAATTAATGTGTGGAATTTTAATTTGATGAAAGGTAATTCATCTGTGCTTACGAGAAAACACTAAACATGCTCAGCATCTGCCAATGGATTTAAAAGCAAGTAAAAGTCATAAATCAGCCTATTAGGATGATCACCCCTTGTTATTAAAGCTGTAACTTTCTTTCCATGATAAAAAGTAAAACAGCAACAATTGATGAGCATGTGCATGACCATTAAAGAAGCTCCATATTGCAACATCACACCAAAACTTCACATTAGACTTCTTCATCTTTTATTTTTGCACCACAGCAGACAGCTTAAGCAGAGGAAAGATGTGTACTGCACTTTGCAAATCATAAATCCAAAAACGGCAACAAAAGAACAAAAACTAAACAGAGAGGTAGTTTCTTGAAAAATAAATGCAACATAAATGCACTTGATCTTTTAATACTCAGTAGTTTGTGGCCACTGTGAAAATAATGACGTTATTTGCACGCCATAAAAATAATTTAGCTTATAGTCTGGAGCGTCAGCCCTTCTCAGTGCCGTCTCAAATCTCTAAGGTGCAGTCAGAGATCAGAACAAAGACTCCGTCATGATTCAGTCTGCTGTTGTGCTTTGCCATTTGTCAGCTGTGTTATGAATTACCATGATGACACTTTGGTGGCATGGATACACTCTAAGCATGCAGGTACTTAAAGAACACAGCTGGTTTGTTATTCCTTTCGCTCTTACTGCTTTAGAGTCCGTTTTACAGCAGAGACGCTCAAAAAAAGCTCTAAAAGCTGACATGGCCAACAACATCATGGCAAGCAGACAAAATCAAATTTACAGAATATCACCCACAAAGTCAGTGGTTACCTACCTGAGGTTGCAAGATAAATCTGAGGGGTCATTTCTTTATTTATATTTTCTTCAGAGTTCTCTCCAATAATTCCCTTTTTCTTGTAAAATACTTGACAGTGTTTAGACTTTCAGGCTTCTCAAAATGATTTAAATTATTTCAGAAAGGGGAAAATCACTGCCAATGACTCGTAGACATATTAAACAGGGTAATTTTTAGGGTAAACAAGTGAAAAAGCCTGGTAACTACTGCTCTAACTCTTCATCAACTGGGGCTGAGTGAACAGCTGCCCCAAGACCCCAGAGCTCCAGGGGCCCCAAGAGCTCCAGGCTTACTGTGTGTCTACTGGTCCAATATGCAGAACTAAAGCACAAAACTGACATGATAAGGGGCCGTCAGGTCAGGTCAGGTCAGGTCAGGTCAGGTCAGATTTTGCTTAATTACCTAATCTTAAAGGGATAGTTTGACATTTTGGGGAAATACGCTTATTTGCTTTCTTGCCGAGAATTGGATTAGAAGATTGATACCACTCTCATGTCATGTCTGTGCAGTAACTATGATGCTGGAGGCAGTTGGCGATTAGCTTAGCTTAACATAAAGAGTGTAAACAGGGAAACAGCTAGCCTGACTCTGTTCGAGGGTAACAAAATCCGTTTATCAAGCCCTCCAAACTTCACTAATTAACACATTATATTTAGTTTGTTTAATCTGCAAATCCAAAACTGCAAAACAGCAAACTGTTGTTGTTTTTTTTTATTTTTATATGGCATATAAGATATAAAGTGAGCTTTAGGGTTGCCATGAGGCGGATTTTGTTACCTTTGGAGAGCTAGCTGTTTTCCTTTGTTTTGAGTCTTTATGCTTTATAGGCTAAACTAACCAGCCACTTGCTCCCAATCTTCCAATCTAACTCACGCAAAGAAAGCAAATATGTGTTTGTCCCAAAATGTAAACCAGTCAGTTAACACTCTGAAAAGCATCCCAGTGTCAAAATGAGGTTTTAAAACCTTTGTTACATCGGTTTTGTGCTTCTGCGTGTTGCCTATTCCTAAATTAATATGTTTAATCAAATTACCACACAGCAAATCTGTGGCCAAGCTGTTTTCTAGCACAAAAAGCATAGAAAAATTGTACACATTGCACACAGAGTGGGGAAAAACAAGAGGGGGTTAAAAGGGGGCCCAGGAGCTCATTTTTGCCCTGGGGCCCCCTAGCAGATAAATCCAGCCATGCGTGTATCTTTTGTAGATGTATAAAGAGCTTGATCAATGATGATACACTATAAAGCATTACAGCACACTTCAGTAGGAATAAAAGAACGGCAGCGCTCACTAACCAGGTTTGCGAAAGCCTGTAATGGAAACATACTGCATGTTGAAGCTTGCAGAGACACCCAGTAGGTTGTTGAGGGTGCACTGCCATGACTGAATTACAACAGGACAATGAGAGGTAACAGTGAATGACGAGTGGCAGTAATAGACAAAACAGGCTTCTTTTTTTTTTTTTTTAAATTCACTTTGATATTTCCTTTTAAAGATTGTCATGGTGGTGCAGCAGTTCTGCGTCAGATCTAAAAGGACTTTTTCCACGACTTACAGAGGATCTTCTGGAAGGCGCGTCTGAAGTCTCGGTTGAAGATGGTGTAGATGGCAGGGTTGAGGGAGCTGTTACAGTAGCCAATCCAGAAGAAGAATTTAAAGAGTGGGTCTGGGATCTTACAGGAGTCCCTGCACAGACCGTACAGGCTGTAGCTAAAGAAAAAGGGGAACCAGCACACAACAAACACCCCCATGACCACAGCCAGGACGAATGTAAACCTCTTTTCTCTGGCTTGTGAAACCTTTTTCCTGGCTAAGGAGCTCCGGCGACGTTTCCTCCGTGAGGCGAAGAGGTCCATGGATTTGTTACTGACTCTGGAGATGCGAGTGGAGTGTTTGGAGAGGGAGCTTTTCTTTTGGCTGGCCCTCTTGGCTCTCTGAGAGTCCTGTTGCTGGGGTTTGTGACCTTTGCCCTCCGAGGAGGAGCTCTCCTCTATGTCAGCATCCTCGGTCTGTTGCCCGATGGTGACGGTGCGCTGGCTGGGCGTAGGCGGGCACTGACAGTGTCCGTTCTCCTTCTCGCCATGGAAAGGGGAGGTGACTTTGCTCAGTCCATTCTCAGTTTGTGTGACACCATCTGGCCTGGGATTTTTTCCCGACATACTTCTGGTTCTGGTTTTGGCCACCTGGTATATTCTGATGTACACCAGGATCATGATTAAGCACGGAGCGAAGAAGGACGCGATGCTGGAGGAGAGGATGTACCAAGTGTCATCATTCAGCTCGCACTGAGGCTGAGAGCCGATATCATTGTTGCTGTCTATAGATATGAGAGGCGGAGATGAGATGAAAGCAGATATAAGCCACACAATTAGGATGATGCACTTGACGCGTTTGGGAGTCCGCTTCAGGTTGTACTCTACAGCCTGCGTAACGGACCAGTACCGGTCCAGGCTTATTGCGCACAGATGAACAATAGACGAAGTGCAGAACAAAACATCCAAAGCCAGATAAATACCGCACCAAACTTTTCCAAAATACCAGTAGCCCATAAGTTCATTCGCCAGGGAAAACGGCATCACCAAAGTGGCGACCAGGATGTCCGCGGTGGCCAGAGACACCAGAAAAAGGTTCTGCGGGGCTTTCAGCGCCCTGCTTGTCAACACCGCAATAACCACCAGTATATTCCCAACAACGGTAAAGAGAATTAGAAAACTTACAAGAGCGGCAATGCTGGCTATAGCCGCTAAAGAATATCCACTGTCCGGACTCCAGGAGGAATTCAGATGGATTACCGTGAACGCGTCCATTCCGCTGGCGTTAAACGAATCCATCCCGACTGTGCGCGCTTTATATATATCCTGGACTGGTTGAATCTTTGCATGGACTCACATTCAGCCTCGTAAAGACTGAAGAGTCCATCAAAAACGCGCAGCTCCGCGGCCAGTTGACACATCTGACGACGTGGATAGGCGCGCATGAAAAGATTCCCACTTAACAGAGTCTTTTGAAGCCTATTTGCAGCCTGTTGATCATGTGTAGGTCAAGAAAACTAACTTAAATTAAAAAATAACCTCCCATGCACCCTATTACAGTCTTGTCACGCGTCTCCTGTGTGTCAGGAGTTGAGTGCGGTCCAGACGCAGCTCTCCCTCCTTCAGCATGGTGCGCTCTCGCTCCTAATGAAGCCCCATGTGTTGTTCTCATAACTCACCCACTGCTGCCCCGCCCCCGGCACAGAGCGTTATTTTCATATTGTTGGACTATGATAAGGCTAGGGACAGGACTGCATTTTAGCCCAAATGATCTCAATTTTCAAATTTTATCATTATTAAACTGAGGCAGAAACTGTTAGGTTTCCAGATTTTGTGTCTTAATCTGAGAGAAAATGAATGTGCAATCAATGTTTTTAGCAGATTTTCTCCCTTTTTCTCTATTTTTGCTAACCCTCAACTCACTGGAGGTCAGTATTGCTGCACTCATAATAAAGCCTTTTTACTCCTTACGCCGCTCAGATTGTCTGTAACCACAAAGCAAAAAGGTTGTGGGGCTATTTGAGGTAAGATACAGAAGTATGTGAGGTGTGTGTGTGTGTGTGTGTGTGTGTGTGTGTGTGTGTGTGTGTGTGTGTATTCATGTGGCAGCAGTTTTGGGGAAGAGAGAGTGGAGGAGTCGTGGGAGAGTGGTTGGAGGGGTGAGTGGAGGGAAGTTGAAGATGTGAGGCTTGTTTGAGTCGAGAAGATAAATTGGATTTTCAACAGTCTGCTGCCTTTCACCTCTTCTAACACTTCCACATTGGTGGCTCAGTTTTTCATCGCTCATGCTCATGCTCATGCTCATATGCACTTGCTTGAGTAAGACTTACAAAGTGCAGTAGGAACCACCAAAAGCACGTATAGACATTTTCTGTGACCTCTGTGATGGTTTATTGTGTTAACAAGTTGAAAAAGATGTCTGCTGATGTGTCAGTGTTATAATGTATAAGGGCCCCTCAGGGGGAGCTGGTTTTATTGCACAGGAACAAAACATTGCTGCTGTGCAATATTTATTGTCAAGTAAAAATTTTTCTGTTGTTTTTCTCCAATAAAACTGTGATTAGTAAAAGGAGAGGAGGCTGTGGTAATACTTTCCATAGCTGGTCTCCACTCTGCAGAACTGAACAGTACAGAGCACTGCACACGCCTGTGATGGAAGTCAAGGAGCCACCTTTCATTTTCAAGAGCTACGAGGCGAAAAGGTTGAGAACTTCTGGCCGTTCGTACAAATAGTTGCATTTATGTTTCATAACACTGTTCAAAATAGCATCCATGCAAATATTACAAAAAAGAAGAATTTCCCAGTGCATAGCAAACTCATAAAGATGTAATTTCAGAGGAGCAGTGGAGTCATGTAAAGCAAAGGTCAGTATATTTTTCCTCCCTTAAATAGGTTTATTTTTCATTTTAAACTTATAAGTTATGAACAGATGCGTATGTATGTCAAAGATAGAGTGTGAGGATGCTCCAGTCACAGAAGGACTGTAGTGAAGAAGCTGAGTATCTTGACTTTTAACTGTATGTACATTTAAGTGAATATTTGAAGTATCCGGGTTAAACATTTTCAACAGAAATAATATTATCGATCTCTTTTGGAAATAATCCAATGTGAATATCCACAAACAAACAGCTTGACAAAATAAACACTGGCAGCAAATGATGAAATATCAGGATATTTGTGGTCAGTTTCGACTGTTTGCTTTAGGCTACATGTTATATCATTCCTTCTTCTACAATATCCAGTTATGCTCTGTACACAGACTGTGAGTTAATATATCAATTACATCACATCATCACCATAAAAGTAAAAGCAAGTTGTTGGTTCATATTTCAAATGAAAATGTTAAGCATAGAGCAAAGTACCAACAAAAAGGGAGAAGTCAACTTTTTTCCAAAAGCTTATCTCTGAAATATGATTCTTCTCTTTCAGGAGACTTCATTTATGCTGGATAATTTAAAATTATTGTTTTGATTTTCACATGGTACAAAAATACATTTAGTAATATTTTTTCTTCTTCCTTCTGCTCAGGGGCGGAACCAGAGGGGTTTCATGGGGTGGCAGCTGCCATCCCTAAAAAAAATGCTTGCCCACCCCAGTTTGATATCAAATGTGATGAAATTTAACACATTAATTTAGATCATTTTTAACAATAAAATGTTAAAAAACTAAAATTAATGTAATGTTCTCTTAGGGCCACATATTAGTCTAAATGATAGGCTCAATTAGGAAAGACATGTATTGTGAAAAAAGTCTGAAGATTTGGAAATAAAATAGAATTTATTGATTTCTAATGCCAACTTTAGATATTTATTTTCATGCTTTACTAATGTGCTACAATAATGTAATGTTTTTGAGTTTAAATATCTTAATTTAGGTTTTTTTTCCAAGCAAATATTGATATATGTGATTGTTTAAGATTAAATCTGCATATATTTCTGCCATCCGCCCCTGCTTCTGCTTTATTGACCCTGATTCACATGCAGTCAAAGAATCTTAATTACTCTCTGAACTGAAAAATACCTGTATGAACACACAAAGAACTGATGTGGCTCTCCTCTACTGTAAGTGCTCATATTTTCAGTCTGTTATTGAACGTCAGCATGTTCAGCTTGAGAAGGTACAGTTCTGGGAATGAAGACGGCTCCTGAACAGCTCATGAGAGCGTCAAAGCCTCACAAGTGCAGGGCTTACGGTGGATCATAGTGAATGTTTCTGTATGAGAGACATAGCGTCATTTACATGTAGTTATTATGTTTCTGTGTTGCATAGTCTGTAATTATGCTATTTTGGGGATTCAGCTTCATTTCACCAGGTGGCTTTCTTATCAGGTTCCAAGAGTTTGCACTGAGCTGAGGAAAAAGCATTTGCTACCTGGACTTCTGCAGAGCGTGCGACATCCTTAGACAAATTTAAATCAGTGTTTTTATATGTGCAGTAGGAACTCCAAACAGTTCCCCAAGTCCATGTAAATGCACCTGTCTTATTTGATCTGGTTTTAGTCTCTTGTACTGTAACTGGTATACCATCTTGGCCAGGTCTCCCTCAAAATAGATGTCTGAAGCGACCTCCTGGTTAAATAAAGGTTAAGATAAGAGGGGTAAAAATGCCATAAAAAAATAGAAAATAGAATATTGTCAACCTGAGTAGAAAATCAGAAACTCAGTGAGTGACAGGTGACAACAAGTGGTAACTACACTAAAACAATGACTAACACTGTCCAGCCAATGACATGATGCGGCTCACACGTATTTACTTACGCAGCCAATCAACGTCATTAACAGCGCTTTATGCGTACGTGCCGCTGTTTAGCGGCGGCAACGTTAAGCTAGCTAACCCCTTACTATGGCAAAAAGAACGGCAGTTGATGAATCATATCAAAACAGCATCCAGAAATCGTCTTGAAGTGGCACATTTGGACCAGCTGATGCGCAAACCTGGCCATCAACCTGGACAAAGTCTACAACCACAGAAGGACAGACGGAAGTCCCCGATCAGATTTGTGCTTATTCTAGTGTCATTTATTAAGAATTTTCATTTGTGGATATTAATCATCAAATGCTGTTACTAGATTATGATTAGTAGAAATTCAAATAAAAAAACTAATTATATATTTTACAGGCACAGAGTTACAGGAATTTACACTGTATCACATGCTTGTGCTACAGCACACACCTCATTGTGCAAAATGTGAATGTTTTAATGTGAACAAAATTTGATCTCTGAAAGGTGTAGGCTACATTCAACACTCAATTCTTCCAGAGCAGGACCCTCACCCTCGACATACAACATACTACACAGCTTATGAAAAACAAGATTTTTGTCTTTTTCATTCTAAGTGGGCCAAATCACTTATAGTAAAAGTAATCTAACGGAAATTACTGCTGTAATTTGATTCTTTTAATAAGCCATGTAACTTGTTATAATCTTAGGTTTTGGACAGGTGTGATACTGGTGTGGCCACAGTGTGCACGTCTGATGTTGCTCACCGTCGTCCATTCTCAGGGAGTTTGTGTGTATGCTCAGACACATGAAAAATTAGGGGGAACATTGGAGTACACTACAGTACACAAAAATACAGACTACTTAAAACAAAGCATAAAACATTGAACCATAACATAAAATACTGTGGAGCAAGATATATTTTTATATTTTATTATATATTATTTATTGATAGCTTCTTACCGCATGGGACACACCTTCTGAATTCATCCTTCATTTCCTCCATACTCTACTGTTTGTTAGCTTTACTTCTCATACAAACTGAGGAGCAGGGCAAGTTCAACCTTTAGTCTGTCCACCCTGGAAGAGCCGCACAGACCAGCAGACCTCAGCAGTACTTCAGTATCTGTTGCAGAGGGAGGTGAGAGTATGACTCACTGTCTTACCTCATCCGGATAGCTCGTCCAGAGAGTTGAACCAGTGACCTCCCAGTCACAAGCCTGCCTCTGTCTGCTTCCTCGTACAGCTCCCAGTGGCCTCCATACCACTGCAGCAGCAGACCTGCAGGTCCGGGTTCACTCCACAAATCCAGAGCTGTCAAATGAGTACAGAAAAGTAATAATTCACTCTCTTTATTGCTAACACTCCCGAGAACTCACAGCTACAGTAATAACAAGTTGTAGCTTGACGTTTAGTTTCCGCAATCAGATTGTACTCATGCTGTCAACATCTGTATAAATATTGCACCAGATAACTTATGTTGTGGTGTATATTCCTTAATTATTGATGGGAAGCTCTTCTCAATGTGTCCATGGAGCGTACTAGTTCTTCTGATATGCCAACCGAGACAAAAAAAAAAAACCTTTAGTAGGTAGTGGTGATTTGCAGGGTTTAAGACGTGTTGGGTGTGCAGGAGGTGAGACGAGCCGACAGCCATCACAGACGATTAATGTTTGTTTAAAGAAGTCAGTGATGATGGGAAGTGATGCCTCTGCTCTGCTCTTATATGTCTCCACTGTAAGTGTGTATCACTGCAGTAGCAATGGTCTCAGGGTTCTGCTGTCTCTTAGATCTTAGGTGTCATTTTCAGAGAGAGTGAAGTTGAGTATGTTATTAGCTTAGCACTCAGTTGTTTGGATCATTTCGAAAAAGATAGAGGTGAAAATGTTTTTGTGCAAATGGTGATGTCGGTGTACAGACTCAAACCCAATCTACACCGCATTACTTGTATTATTTGATATTTGATATTTATTTTTGGCTTCTTTCTACATGGAGAAAAATAAAAAGATGAGATAAGAAAACCTGAATTCCAAATTTACACTCAACTCCACTGCTGCCCTGTAGTTATCTGAATGAAAGGCTGCTTTTGAAATGAATATGATTTTATGTATTACATAAAATTACCTTTTCCTCTTTGTTCTCTACATTTCAA